ATATATAGTCCAGATCACTTTCAAACTTGATGTTCCTTAAATTTTGAGATTTCTATCTTTTTAACTAGGGTGTGTGAGATCATCATCATCATCCTAACTACTCTGTGTGTCAAATAAAAGAAGAAAAATGTTTTCTAGACTAGATTCTCCTGTACTCCGGGAACTCTTGAGATTGATGTAGTCCATGAGGCATTTGGATCTTATTTTGACCTTTGTCTCTACTCTTATTGGAATTCTTTCATTGAAATACTTGTAGGCCTTTCTGATTGGCATATGCCTCCCAATGTATGCCGTGCACACCAGCAAAAAGCCATGGAATGGTTGGGACAGTGTTGCAACAATCATCTGCATGAGCGGCATTATTGTGGCATACTTTGCTGATACTCAACTTTACAATTTTGTTCAAAAAAATAATCTATTGAAGGATCTTAGCATGCCAGGAATACCCAACCTTGATAAGGGCTTGTGGCGCTATTCTAGGCATCCTAACTACTTTGGGGAGCTGCTTTGGTGGTGGGGACTGGTTGTCTTTGCATGGAATGTTGGGCATGGCTGGACTTTCATTGGTTCATTGTTGAATACTTTTTGCTTAGCTTATGTAACCGTACTTGTTGAGCAAAGGATGGTCTCTCAAGAATATAGAGCCAAGGCATTTAGAGAATACAAGGCTACTACTTCTGTGTGGATTCCATGGTTCAAGTGTACTCCAACTAGAGCAAAGGATAAGAACACATGATATTACTTTGAACTCATGGCTTATTTAAGCTCCGTGGTGTTTTTAATTCAGGTGCTTTAGTCTATTATGTGGCAGCTCATGTTATGGATACGTTTTAGTTACACAAAATCTGGACAAGATTCAATATATGTTTTACACTATTTAATTTTGTTGGTTATGCTACACAGTATAAACTGAACGACTTATCATTGTTCTATCGTTTTCTTACGTGTAAGGTTACATTAAGCGAAAACAACATGCATCATAAAGTGACCAAATTTGGCACTTCTAAACAACATGCATCATAAAGTGACCAAATTTGGCACTTCTCTTGTATTCTTATCTCAGCTAAACATATCCAATATAGAAGGAATGTCTGCATGTTGGTTGGCCTTATTCTGCTTGCTTACTGATGCAAGAAGCCATAAATATGTAGAATCTCATTCAGGACTTTGGTCATTGCTAATGGAGAACTATCCTTAACTATCCTTTCTTGATAACTATGGAAAATTCCCCATTCCTTTCGTCCATCTGAAACATGAAATGTGTTCAATATAAGCATCAGCTGGTAGTTATTATCATTGTATTATTTGTAAGAAATAGTTGAAATTATAGCTATGAATAAAATGATTCTGCACGTGTAAATTCAAAGTGTAGGAAGTAAAGAGCAGTAGTATTTCATGTCAAAAGGAATATTACAATATAATTGTGATAAGATGTGAGAGACCCTCATATCAACTCAAAGCCTTTCATCGAGAAACTTAAATAATTTCGATTTGGACTTGGCGTATTTGTCTAAGAATAGGATTCGCCTAACCACATGGAATGTAGGAACACTTACAGGTAACAAAATGGAGTTAGTGGATACAAAAAGACCAAAGAGAGTAAAACAAAGCTTGTCTATAGGAAACTAAGTGGAAAGGAGAAAAAACTAAAGAAATAGATGGGTATAAACTTTGTTATATAGGAAAGGATAATAATAGAAAAGGCGTAGACATAATAGTAGACAAAAATTTAAAAGATAAAATAGTTCCTGTTAAGAGAGTAGATGATAGGCTCCTATTAATTGAACTTGTATTAGAGGAAGTGATGTTTAACACAATTAGTGCTTATGCACCACAAATAGGACTAAAGATTAGAATTAAGAGACAACTTTGGGAGGTCATGGATGAACTAGTCCAAGACATACCAATGGAGAGAGGACATTTATAGGAGTGGACTTAAATGGACATGTAGGGAAAGATAGTAGAGGATATGAAAGGGTATATGGGGGATATGGGTTTGGTGAAAGAAATAAGATGGGTAAGGCTCTTTTGGATTTCTCTATGGTCTACGACCTAGCAATAGAAACACTTCCTTTAAAAAGCAAGATAAACATTTAATAACTTATAAAAGTGGATTACATAAAAGTCAAATAGACTTCTTCCTAATTAAGAAGATAGATTGACCATCATGTAAAGATTGTATGGTTATCCAAGGAGAGAGTTTAACTACCCAACACAGGCTCGTGGTTATGAACGTCTGCATAAAGACATGGAAGATAAGGAGTGAAATTAGTAGGTGTCCAAGAACTAGGTGGTGGATTTAAAAATCAGAAAATAGACGTATTTAAGGATAAATGAGTTAGAAAAGGAAATGGGACACTAAACATGAGGTCAATGCAGTGTTTTAAAATACGTCCATGCGGGATGCGCTCGCATCTGCATCAGAAATAGGCGCATATATGCTTTTGGGGCAATGTCCTCTTCCCAATCTTCTAATAATAATGATCCGGCTTGGAAGTATGCTAAACTAAAAAATCCCAAAGATAAAAATTGTGTGATATGCTTGCTCTGTAGAAATACTTATATGGGTGGATAACTGGATATAGAATATCTGACAGCTAATAGTTTTGAAGCTAATCATTTAACTAAAATACCTACTATCACATATATCACCTTTATATTTTTTCCTATGCATTAACTTATTTTTTAAAATTTTTTAGAATTTTTTTACATTTGTTGACCGCATCATCATGATGCACCCACATCCGGGCCGCATCGGTGACGCCCGCGTCGTCCCCCCCACCGCATCAGGGTCGCATCCCGCATTTTAAAACACTGGGTCAATGTTATGTGAAATGAGATGACTGACTATATTAAAAAAGTGGTAAAAGAAGTTATAAGAGAATCTAGAGAGAAAAGATATTCAAATAAGAAAACTTGATGGTGGAATGATGATGTTTAGAAGGCTATTAACAAAAAACGATCATGTTATACAGCTTGACAATGAAATACTTGGTGCATCGACGTGACTTCAACATCACCAACTAATCCTTTGAAAGAAACTCTAATTCCAGTATCTCCCTTTTTATGTTAGCGTTTTCTGACTTCATCTCATGCAACCATCTGTTAGACCTACCTCTCCATGGGGCTGATTTCACTTGGTTCGACCACTCGGCCTCCCCAACCCTTTCCAAACTTGACCGCTTTCTCGTCTCGGCTTATTGGGACACTTCTTTCTTGGGGTCTTACTTCCTTGCTCTTTCCAAACACACTTCAAAGCACTGCCTCATCCTCCTTGACACCCTAGCCGCCCTCTGGCAGCCCAAGCTGTTTAGGTTCTAGATGGTCTGGCTGGAGAAACCATCTTTCTACTCCTTCGTCCTATCAAAATGGCATCCTCGACTTCTCCAAATCCAGGGTTGGGCGGGTTTCTGCCTACAAAGAAAGCTTCAACTCCTCAACCCCCTTCTCAAGGATTGGGCGCCCCAAACCCTTTGTAACTTCAGGGCACAAAAAGCTTCCCTCTTACATGCCATCCGCTCTATGGGTTCTTAGGAAGAACTTCGCCTTCGCCCCGTCAATTCTGTAGTAGTAGTCCAGAGGAGCCAAGCTTAGCTTGAATACCTAAGCATCCTTTGCAAGGAAGAATTTTTTAGTAACAAAGATCCATAATAAAATGGCTTAAGTTGGGAGACTCTAACACTGCCTTCTTTCACAAAATAGCCAATTGCAGAAGGCGTGACAACTTCATCTCCCAAATTAAAGGTGATAACTCCATACTTGACCAACCCTCCCAAATTGAGGATGCCATTACTAGTTTCTTCAAGAACCTTTTCTCCTCCTCCTCGAGATCTAGATCCCCCATGTCCTCTCTCCCCTTCAAGACCCTCCCCTCGACCAGATCACCTGGCGCGAACAACCCTTTTTGGAAGAAATCCTCACAGCCCTTAAGGACCTAGCCTAGGACCAGGCGCTAAGCTCAAATGGCTACCTGGTCATTTTTTCCTAACACTTCTGGGATATCATTCGCCCCAACATCCTTGACATGTTCAATGAGTTCCACGACAGGGGGGTTGCCACGGATGCAAGTTTCATTGCCTTGATTCCCAAGATCGAAGGCACGAAAGAACTGAAGGACTTTCGCCCCATAAGCCTTATCAACAACTCCTACAAATTGTTATCTAAGGTTCCAGCCACTAGGCTTAGAGCCGCCCTTAGTTGGGTCATATCCATAGCCTATTGGGCCTTTGTGAAGGACCGTTACATACTAGATGGAGCCCTTGTGACGCACGAGTGCATGCATTTGTGTTACCTTCCCCAGATCTTGGAGATCATAACCAAAATTGACTGGGAAAAGGCCTAAGACCATGTCAATTGGCGCATCCTCGGCCAAGCCATGGAAAAGTTGGATTTCTGGCAGCATCGGAGGAGGTGGATCTCCGAGTGCATTTCCAAATCGCACTTCTTTGTTGTTATTAAAGGCTCTCCTAAAGGCTTCTTCCTGTCCTCTAGAGGCCTAAGACAGGGCGACCCTTTGTCGCCTTTCGTTTTTGCCATTGTCACAAAAGTTTTCAGCCAGTCGATCTCGGGTTTATGTAGTGCTGGCCTTCTTAAAGTTTTCCAGGTGGGGAGGGGTTGACCAGTAATTTCCCTCCTCCAATACACAAATGACACCCTAATGTTATGCGGCGCGGACCCCTCGCAAATCCATAACCTTAAGCTCTTCCTTAAATGTTTCGAATTTGGCACTGGCTTTAGGGCTAACTTGGACAAAACCAAGCTTATGGAGATTGTTGTCCAAACCCAGACCCTTCTTGCCCTTGCAGATATTCTTTGGATGTAAGACCGAAGCCTTGCCCTCAACCTACCTCGGCCTACCCCTTTGTACAGGCAAGTCCAAAGCCACTAAGTGGAGCCACATCATAGATAAATTTGATCGCCGCTTCACAGGGTGGAAGGGTAGATATCTCTCCCTGGCTTGCCATCAAGCATCCCTATTTTTCATATGTCCTTATTCTAGATGCCGGCCTCAATTGCGCACTGCCTCGAGCAACTTATGCGTAAGTTCCTGTGGGTTGGTGGAGGGGACAATAAATACCACCTCATTTCTTGGGCCAAAGTTTGCACCCTCAAATTCCTTGGTGGTCTAGGCATACACAACTTGAGGCTCAACAACCAAGCCCTCCTAAGCAATTGGTTGTGGCGCGTTGCTACCCAAGGCAACCATCTCTGGTTGGTAGTCGTGCGCCACAAGTGCCATGTCACTGATAATGATTGGCTCCCCACTGCGAGAGCGGCCCTCATCTTTTAGGGGCTTGGCCCTCTATACTCGTCTGCCTTCCCTCTTTCTCCCTTAACCTTCGCTTTCACCTCCCCCCCCAGCCTTAGGATCCTTTTTTGGTTCCACCCATGGATAGGCCATACCCCTCTCAAGGATAGATTCCCCCACCTTTTTCAGGTGGCTTCATATCCTATGGCCTTTGTAGTTGATAGTTTCCAACTTCTGGGTGACAAAAAAGTTTGGAACCTCTGTTTTAAGAGGCCTCTCTTGGACCCCAAGATCCCCAATTTCTTAGCTCTCTCATCTATGCTTCATTCTTTCTTCCTTCCCCCACAGGTTTCGACCTGCCCATATGGTCTCCTGATGCCTTGGGCAGTTTTTCAATAGCCCCCATCTACAAAGCCCTCCAACCACCTTCCCCCACCCCTTCCCCACAACACTTCTCTTGTATCCAGAGAGTGGCAGTGATTTAAAAAGCAAATACGGTCCAGAAGGCCTGGGCGCATCCTCTAGGCCTAGGCGGCGAG